AACAGGAACCAGTCGCTGCAAGACTGTCCGTGGTCCCTTCCTTCGAGTGTACAGCAAAAATTGCATAAAAAGTCATGTCTGAGAAAACGTATTGTAGAATTTCAACAACGAGTGGATGCAAGTAAATCAGAAGCAATCGAAGAGCTGGGTAAACTTAGGGAAATTGAGGACGAAATTGCGCTTGCTGAAGACACAACTCGAGAGGCAGAAAATGCGATTGGTAACGCGAGGAATGATGCGAAAATGGCTGAAGAAATTGCTGTACAGGCCGAGAAAGAAGCTAAAAGCATTTCCGAGGTTGGCTTTTGGAAAATTTTTTCGATACGGTGATTTATACGCACAGAGAAATCTACGCGACTGTGGAGGTGGTCTTGGTATTCTTGGTAATTCATACAACTCGTGTCTTATATTTGTTCTTCCAGCAACCTTTCTGGGAGAACTAAATCTCGGAGGTGTGGTTCCAGAAAACAGAAGTCGAACAAATGTAGTGAAGTCGCTGCAGGAAGCGCTATCTGGTGCTCTGCATTTGGAAAGCTGCATGCCTGCCGTTTGAGTATTCACTTCAGTTTCATATCCCTCGCACATATTTACCAATCCTTTGGATGCTTCACTAAATGAACACGCAAAAAAAAAAAATCTGAGAATCGTAATAAAATACTGCATTACGCATTTGGTATTATTTTTGGGGGGAGAAAAATGTTCCTTTTTCTTTAACGCATTTAGAATCATTATTAATCGTTTACTTGCTTGTTGGGTTTAGGCGCTCTTTCACTGTTGTGTTCCCTCTCGTCATCAATACAGCTAGTAACTTTTCAGAAATCCTAAAACTAAAATACGAAAGAGTAGCATAAATATTCAGAAAGCTGATGGACTGCGAAATCAAACAGTTGAAGCGCGGAAAATTGCGGAGGAGCTGAAGTCGGACGCCGATCAATTTTTTAACGACATAATCGAAACGGGCACAACTCTTGAGGATTACAGGCGACAAGCTAGCACCGATAAAGCACACGCTTCCGAAGTCAGTTTTTTTAGTAAACTTATTTTTCCGACCGAATAAAAACACAAAACCAAGACTACATTTTTGCTCCCATAAGATTTGGATACAGCAGTATACTGTGATATCAGAAGGAGGACCAGGAAATTAGGGACAGGACGAAGAGAGTAGTCTTTTCCTTATTATTGGAGATTGTTATCTGCATGTAAAACTGAGTAATTTCTTTCTGGAAAGCGTAGAATCAGCTGGATGTGCAAGCAGAGGAACATAATTTCATGCTGAATTGGCTCAAAACTTTGCTGTTTAAAAAAATAAAATGATTGAATGATTGAATTTGGCCGCATAATATATAACTGTGTTTCCTGTCGGCTAAGGAATTGTGCACGTGAGTATTCAAATATGAGGGTCGGCAGAGTATCGTTGTTTAAAAAAGGGAAACACTAACGTTCACCTTGAGCTATGAATGATTTCAGTACTTTCTGGAATCAACTGGGGTTGTTTTCCAAAAAATTTCCATTATTTTTACTGGAACGCAGGAGAGGAGGGCATTACTATGAATTTTTACGAAGCGTATACTATCGTGCGATTAAATTATTGAAATGATTCGCCTTATTTAGGCAGTGCAAAAAGCAAAACTTGCCGAAAATGATGCTGAGAAAGCAAATAAAACGCTAAGCGAAGCTCAAGATAGTCTCAAAAGGATAATCGATCAGCTAAGTAAGTTAAAGTCAATATTTTGCGTTGGACTGTGAAAACAGAAGAGTGAGCAGGGGTTTTACTACCAAACTTTCGTCGTATTATTGCGCATGCGCGCCATTTATGCTATCGGCTGCCTCTCCATGTGTGCTGTGGCCGGAGCTTCATATCTGATGGTCGGCCGTCGGATAATCAAGACGTCCGTTTCCGTGTTTTCTTCCACAGCATCTATGAAGAGAAATTTGGGATGTATCTTTTTTTAAAAAAGAAATGTTATATGTGTCGCTGTCCTTCAGCCTTAATGTGACCTTGTAAAGGGAAAATATTGTGTTTTAGATTCATTGGACGACGTGAATAATGAAGAACTCGATGAACTGGAAAAGCAGCTAGATAAGGCGGAAGAACTATTGGAAACCGCTGATTTGGATAAGCAGGTTGGGCATTCTTTTCCTCCAGTCTGGTATATTTTCTTGTGTCCTTTGCTAAAAATTTTTCCATTCGTTGTGTTGAGAATCCTGAAAAGTCCCTAAATTTCCAAAATCTAAAGTTTTCGAATTAAGAATGCGAATTACTCGTTGAGTTTCCCCGATTTCTTTAGCCAAATTTGGGCTTTCTTTTATTTCTTCCATCTCCATTTACACACGAGTCACTCAGCTGGGAAACATTCTGGATCAGAAACAGTAAATCTGGATACCATTTATATCGATGGATATCTTACAGAATAGTAAGTGTTTCATTCCTCACTCAGTAAAATACAGAATAATTCACCAACGCATGGGCTGCCCGTGCAAAGACGCATTTTTTGCATAGCACCCCGCAGATTTTCGTTGCAAACGGCACTGGTTTTTCCGGCAGATGCTTCTAGCTAAAAGAATTTCAGACTGGCCACCAGAAC